TTGGGTTGGTTTCCTACCTGCGTTTTCCCTCCCACCCACCCTTTGCATGCATTTCCGGGTTGGTACAGTGCCATGTCAGACACAGTGACACATCAACTACAGTGACACGTCAGCAGTGCCACGTCAGACACAGTGACACGTCAGACACAGTGACACGTCAGCAGGCCACGTCAACAGTGACATGTCAGCAGTGCCACGTCAGACACAGTGACACGTCAGCTACAGTGACACGTCAGCAGTGCCACGTCAGAAGTGCCATGTCAGCAGTGCCACGTCAAACACAGTGCCACGTCAGACAGTGCCACGTCAGCAGTGCCACATCAGCAACATGACGGGCCTGCCAGGCCAACTGGCCAATGAGCCCATTGCCGACTACAAAAAGCGCTTCCAGGCTCAGCTCGCTTTAATCGAGGTTGAGGAACAACGCCAGCTGGCAGCCAAGGCTGCCCAGCTACAGGCTGAAGAAGCGGCAACAGCAGAGAAGCTACGGCTACAGGCCGAAGCAGACGCAAATGCCCAGGCTCGCCGCAAGGAAGCCCAGGATCTGCTGCAGCGGCATGAAGCCAACAGCATCGAGAGACTCAAGTTCTGGCACTTTGAACCGAACGGCGACGAGGCAACACCGGAAGAGCAGCATAAGGAGTTCATGGCCAAGCTCGTGACCAGGTTGGCTTACACTTGTAACCACCTACAGTCCGAGCTGGCGAACCTCCAACGGGCCGAGCGGAACCATAAGACTCAGCACAAGGATGCCACACGGGCACTAGACGCCCGTGTACAGGACTTGGAACAAGTTCCACCAAGACCAGATGTTGGGGCTTCCAGCAGTGCACCCTCTAGCCGCCAACTGGAGGAACGCGTTGACCACGAAGTGGCAATGCTCGGCGACATCAGCACCTTCGCTGCGCCGACCACCATCAGCACTCAGTTGCATACCTTGAAGACCGAGGTCCAGCAGCTGCAGTCGACGAACACGGATGGCAATCCTAAGTTGTACAAGATGCCAACTTTCCAACTGGACAAGTTCGACGACTACACGCAGCAGGATCTGGTCCTCTGGTGGGACGCATTCACGACGCAACTTCGGATTCTACCCGTCGCTAAGCATGCGTGCATCGGCGCCCTGTTCATGAACTCAAAGGGCGGATGCCAGACCTGGTTGACCCACCTGGCAACCTCTCACGGCGTCGACGTACCAGACTTGAAGGACAAGATCACATGGGAGGAACTGACACGACTGTGGAAGAAACGGTTCATCGTCGACGACGCGCCGACACTCGCTATCGAACGTCTTTTCACCATGTCACAGGGCAACACCGCAACACGAGACTGGCTCACGGAGTGGCAGAAGATTGTGGCAGTGCCCAATCTGGACTTGCCATTCACGCATCTGCGCAGTGAGTTCTACAACAGGTCCAGTGCTGCATTGAGCCAGGCTCTTGGTGATCGCGAGCAATACACCACCTTCACCGAAATCATTGACAAGGCGAGGGAGATCATCAAGACCAACAGGTCAGCTGCACACGAAAAGTCAACATGGCAGTCGACCTATGTGGAGAAGGTACGAACTGGTCCGCGACCGCAGCACTTCGCTGCAGTCCAGTCGGACAGTGGAGAAGACCCAGCAGCCACTCCAGCATCATGTGAGGGAGATCAGGTGGCTGCTGTCCAGCCGCGAAGCAACAACAAGTCCCAGAACAATGGGAAGGCGAAACCAGCATCGCAGGCCGGAAATGGACAGCCAGCACCACCATGGGTCAAGTTCGGCTTGACCGAGCCCGAGTACAAGTACCGCGGCCGTTACGGCTGCTGCTACTGGTGCAACAGCACCAAGCACAAGACCTCTCTTTGCCAGGATCAGGCCAAGGAGGATGTGCGGCCTCGGCTCAACTCGGGAAACTGAGTTTCGCGGGAGGTGAGGCGACTCCACCCCGCACTCCACCAGATTCGGCCGCCTTGCTAGCGGCCTCGTACACATCCGGGGAGGATGCGAATGTCGCAAGTCCTTGGTACACTTACGAGGATTATGTTGTCCACTTGGTTCCACCGCTGGACCAACCGCTCCACGTGCAACAATCTACCGCATGCACGGTTTCATCACCATCGGCAACCGATTCGGCAGCTTCGCCGTCATCTACCGCCGGGGATTCAACGTCATGGTCAAGCCTTGAAGAACTCGACCCGTTGACTTTTGAGGACTTCCAATGGATGCCCCTGCCCCGGTTCGGTCGATTGCCGAAACCGCATTGCAACGTGCTCAAAGTACAATTGCGGGATTACTTGCACACTGCAGTACCGACTCCGTTGATGGACGCCGGAGTAGAGGTTGTCGACCTTTACGCCTACATTGCGAAGATCGACCGCGAGTTCAAGATGCAACGGTACGGCGACATCGACGCACCATTGCTATATGTACGCATTCAGATCGGAGAGGCGACCTGCAGCGCTTTGATCAATTGCGGAGCATCTCGCAACTACATGAGTCAGGACTTCATGGTACGCGCCGGCTTTGGCCCACGAGTCCGAAGGAAGTCCCAGCCCACGCAAGTCACGTTGGCGGACGGTCACACGCACAAGTCAATCGACCGGTGCATTGACGACGTCCCAATGTACTTTGCCCCTCACGCAAGTGAGGCGGTGTCCTTTGACATCCTGGACACCAAATTTGACATGATCTTGGGCATGTCATGGCTGCGAAGCGAGGACCACCCGGTGAGCTTCTACCGCCGCACCGTTCACATTCGTGATCGGAACGGAGTACTAGTCCCATGCATGGTAGCTCCTCCTCACCCTTCAGTCAGTTGTCACGTGGTATCCGCCGCAAGCATGCGAGCTTCCATCATCAGAGACGACATCGAGGAGATGGGGGTGTATTTTCTCCACGCCCTCCCGCCCCAAGACGCGTCATCGACGGACTCATATTCGGATCCACGCATCACCGAACTTCTCGACGCCTACAGCGACGTGTTCAAAGGCCCGCACGGAGTAGTACCGAATCGACCCATCTGCCACAAGATCATCCTCGAGGACGGGGCCATACCTCCACTCGGTTGCATCTACCGAATGAGCGAGGAAGAGTTAAGTGTGCTTCGGGCACAACTCGACGACCTTCTGGAGAAAGGCTAGATTCGGCCTAGCTCATCGCCATACGGTGCTCCTGTTCTCTTCGTCCGGAAGAAGAACAAGGATTTGCGGTTGTGCATCGATTATCGCAAGCTCAACGCGCAGACGATCAGAAACGCCGGCCCTCTCCCACGCATCGACGATCTTCTTGAGCGACTGGGCGGCGCCGAGTTCTTCTCCAAGCTCGATCTCAAGTCGGGATATCACCAACTCGAGATTCGCAAGGAGGATCGCTACAAGACCGCGTTTAAGACGCGATATGGGCATTTCGAATGGCTGGTTATGCCATTTGGCCTTACGAATGCCCCGGCCACTTTCCGAGCGGCTATGACAACGGAGTTCCGACACATGCTGGATCGATACGTACTTATCTACCTCGACGACATCCTGGTGTACAGCCGGAGTTTGGACGAGCATGTGGAACACATGCGCACCGTTATGGAGCGGCTACAACAAGCGAAGTACAAAGCCAACCGCGACAAGTGCGAATTCGCGTGACAGGAGATGGAGTACTTGGGACATTATGTGACGCCGCAAGGCATCTGTCCGCTTGCGGACAAGATCGAGGCCCTACGAGTATGGCCCGAGCCCACCAACACCACGGACGTTCGTTCATTCATGGGATTGGCGGGCTACTATCAGCGATTCATCACCGGATACTCGAGGATTGTTGCACCTATGACGAGATTACAATCGCCAAAGGTGCCATTCGTATTCGATGACGACGCACGCCGGTCATTCCAAGCACTTAAGACGGCTATGCTCATGGCACCCGTCCTTAGCATCTATGACCCCACACTGCCGACGAGAGTGACTACGGACGCTTCCGGCTATCGCATTGGGGCAGTCTTGGAACAGCACGACAGCGACGACTGGCACCCTGTGGAGTATTTCAGCCACAAAGTGCCTCCCATCAACTCGCTTGATGATGCAAGGAAGAAGGAGCTGCTCGCATTCGTCATGGCTCTTAGGCGATGGCGGCACTTCCTCCTTGGGCGTCGTAGGTTCACATGGGTTACGGGCAACAATCCATTGACCTACTACAAGACGCAGGATACGGTGAGCAGCACGATCGGACGATGGATGTACTTCATCGACCAGTTTGACTTCACACCGAAACATCTTCCCGGCCTCTCCAATCGCGCAGCAGATGCACTCTCGCGAAGACCCGATCTTTGCGCTATGACACATCATGCCTTCGCATTCGACGAGGAGCATCAGCGACACTTCATCCGGGCATATGAGTCTGATACGGGCTTCGCCACGCTGTATGCACAGCTATCTTCGGATCACCCGCCGGCCAGCCACTATCACATTGCCGACGGTTACTTGCTCCTCCACTCGAGAGGCAAGGACTTACTATGTGTCCCACGCGACCGCCGTCTTCGGACTCGCCTCCTCGGCGAGTATCATGATTCACGACTCGCCGGCCATTTCGGAGTCAACCGCACTATTGCACGGCTTCGACAGCGATTCCGATGGCCCGATCTCATTACCGATGTCACTCGGTATTGCGACTCTTGTGAAGTTTGCCGACGCAGCAAGCCCCGCAACCGCAATCCCTACGGCGAGTTACGCCCGATGCCTATCCCACGGGAACCCGGGCTCTCCATTGCCATGGACGTCACCGGTCCGTTCCCTCGCGGCCGGCTCGGGCATGACGGCATCCTCACGGTGGTGGACCGATTGAGTAAGTCCGCGCGTTTTCTTCCTCGCAAGTACTACTCCACGGCTCCCGAGCTGGCACGCCTCCTGCACACTGGTTGGATTTGTGGCCACGGTGTACCAGAAGACATAGTCAGCGACCGCGACACACTACTCTCATGCAGGAGTCCGGCACGAAGATGAAACCAAGTTCGGCTCGGCATCCACAGACGGACGGGCAAACGGAGCGGGCACATCAAACCGTTCAAATGATGCTTCGTACGCTCATCCGTCCGGACCAGAAAGATTGGGTTGACCGCCTCCCCGACATCGAGTTCGCCTACAACACTTCGGTGCATCCGGCGATCGGCGTGACTCCATTCGAGTTGCACCACGGTGGACGGAAAGGCCGGATCTTCGCCGACCTTCTCCTCCCTCGACCAGCCGACATTGACGATGCCTGCTCTCCCGCTTCCGTCCGGAAGTACAGGGAATTGCTGACTCAAGCCCACGAAACATGCAAAAGGCTCAAGTCCGCATGCAGCAGCAAGCCAATAGGCGTCGCGTACCATGTCCCATCCACGCCGGTGATCTGGTTTGGGTCTCCGCGGAAGAGTTTGCACTGGAACAGGWTGTTTCACGCAAACTGCTTCCCAAGTGGTTTGGACCTTGGTCTGTGACAGCAGCCGCGGGCGATGAGCCCGATGGCCCTTCATTTGTGATCAACATTCCCGAGCATCTGACGGTCCATCCAGTCTTTCACGCCTCGAAGCTGGCAACATATACACCAGCTAAGAGCAACGACTTCCCGGGCCGACGATCGCAGGACCCTCCTTCTATGGATGGTCATCAGGAAGTTGACCGCGTCATCACGGATCGCAAGTACGGCAGCAAGCCGCGCCAGTACAAAGTTACATTCAGAGCATGCGATCCCGACGACACTCGTGGATTTCAGGAGCAGATTTGAAAGCATCCGCACCGCTGATCTACGCTCACTACGAGCGACAAAGGTTAGCTAAGGGACCTCCACGACCTGCCCCTCCCACCCGGACTGTGGTCCCTCCCTCATAAAGACAGCTTTGCCCTTGCAGGTAAGCTCGGTCTTTCAAGGAGGGGGGGGTGTGGCATACTGCGTAGCCACATGGGCCCTGCAGGGCCCATCTCGGACTTTCAGCCTAAAAGCCTAAAACTTAGGGCTTACAGGCCCCGGTCGTTTCAGCCTGGAAGCTGAAATACGATGGCCTGTAGGCCCTATTCCGTTTCAGCCTATTTCTGGCCCAGAGTTTTTTCCAGCCTGAAACGGAGGGCCTTTTTCAGGCCCTCATTGTTTTGACCACCTCTAAGACTCAGGCACGAATACAGGGTTTCGGAACAGGCCAGAAATAGCCTGTTCCTCACGAGCTTGAGCAGGAGCTGCAGCTGCAGCCCCTGCCTTCCTTCAGCATTGGCAAGAGCAGCCTCCTGGACTGCTCGCACAAGTCAGGAGGCACACCCGGTAGTACATAGGAAGTTCCCATGCACTTCACGGGTAGTCTTCAGGATTCGGCCGCAGCACTCAGGAGGAGCGCTGCAGTAGTCTTCAGCGCTAGGCAGTAGTATTAGCGCTAGTAGTAGTCTTCGGCGCTGGGCGCCCATAGCCATAGCTGTAGACTTCAGCGCTGGGCGCTATTAGGTGGTAGATCGTAGAGTTGGGAGAGAGGGCTGGCGGAGGCCAGCGGTACTTACCTGTGGCGCCATAGCTCCAGCTCCATCTTCGAGGTACCTGCATCAAGGCGCCAACTTCACAGGTTAGTACTGGACACAGAGAGAGAGAGAGAGAGAGTTCTTCTTCTTCCTCTTCTAAGTCCACCATCTCTTCTCACCCTCTCGCCACCTGACTTCTCAGACTACGACAGAGAGAAACAGAGTCGTGACTTGAGACTTGACGACATTGGATCCAGACTTGACATTTGGGATTCAGACATTCCGATGAGGGACCATTTGGGCCTGTGCCGAAGACTTGGTGTTGACGACATTCCCATCTTTCCCCTTCCTCTTCGTCTGTGTATGGTAGGGGCTGGCGCAGTCTTCCTGTGTGTAGCGCCAGACCCCATTCACACCATGTAAYGATGATGATGATGTATGTTCAGGGCTGCATTGCAATATTGATTGTTCGGATCACTGGTATCTAAGTCTTCCGCTGTGTTATCTTGTACTTTGTATTGAGAGGTCGGTTCTTGTTCTGGTCTGCACGTTACAGTATGCAACAAACTGACTGGAGCGGTGCATTGTTGCAGCTAGAAATAGGAACCTGGACTTGGTTGGCCCGCTTCAGACCGGTACTGGTTGCCCACAGCCTGTCTACTGCGTGATATTTGTCGGTTCGGTATGTTCCGGGCTTTCCTGGGACGCTGCTGGAAATTTGGACTTGGGACTGCACTTTTCTTGTCGGCTACCGGACTGGACTTCTAAGGACCTGACGATTCGGTACCGGCCCGACTTGACCTGCGACGCTTTGATCTACAGCCTACCAGGCCTGCTGACCCTAGCCTGGGACTCGGCCTACCATGTCGTAGTGGGACCAGGACCTTCTGGGACTGGGAGAACTGGGACTCTGGGACCAGGGCTCGGGATGTCTTGCAGCATGAAATCCTTTCATTGGTGCTTTCCAAGTATATGATCCCCATTTATATGTGCAGTTTATGGGTTGCATTGCATCAGACAATCACGCAAACAGCGGCCTCTGTTTTTGGCCACAGAACTTTACAGAGGCTAATCCTGCAAGTGCTGGGAAGGCTACGCTCCACTCTAGCTTTGCAAGAGTCCTTTCCACGTAGATGATCCCCTTGCATACTTGAGTTTGTGGGGTGCATTGCATCAGACAATCAGGCAAAGAGCAGCCTCTGGGCATCCTTTTGTGCCGAGCCCTCACCTTCCACATGCATGATGTGCCAAGCTCAGCGCTTGTAAGTACTTGAAACCGTCCAAGTTCATTCTCATGAGAATAGCTAATTGTTAAATCATATACTGCATCCAGATGTCCTCGCAACAGCGTGAAGATTGTTGAAAACCCCTGTAGACAGTCACAGAGCCAAGAAAACTTAGAATATGAAGAAAACTTAGAATATGAAGATTTTCAGCAATCCCCGCACACATTTCACAATGCCAAGAAAAGTCAGAAGGATTACGTCAGACTGCAATCACACAGCATGGCAATAGAATAGGTGCTTGGAGAGGGAAGTACTGCCCACTGCGCTGGAAAACAAATCCAGGCATGATCACATAGCACTTAGGAAATGATTTTTTAAATCTTTATTTACTGTTTTATAAAGGAGGTCCTTATGGTCCAGGTTCCATTTCATTCCAGGGAGTGTCATTCCGATTCCTTTTCTACCAGCAAGTCACAAACCATGTATAGATGTCCACACATCATGCTTCCATCCCGGCCAAAGGAACCCCTGCAAAGCATTGATTAGTCCTTATTAGGGATGATTGGTTGACAGGCTTGCCTTATCCCTCCTGCATTCCTCTCGGTCCACCGGAAGATGGAATGTCAGGTCCTATTAGCCCTAAGAGTGTTCGAAGCAATTCAGGCCCAAAAAGGTTTCTGGTCCACCTGCATCTGTTGTCTCCACTGGTTTACCGAAGTCTCTAAGTTGTGCCAATCCATTTGAGCCGACGGCGACTGAACTTCATTACTTGTCTGTTTGATTGCCAGATGTTACTAAACTTGGCAGTGCTGCAGTGTTCGGTGTCCGGATTGTTTTGTACGTACGCCTTGCCTCCACTAGCTGTTGGTCTCGGCCTCGAACATGCACCTCGTTGCTGCCTAAGCCTGCTCTCTTGGATCCGAGTTTTGTGAAGTAAGATTCTCCAGCGTTCCTTCCATATTGGCCACAGAGCAAATTTTTTGATCAGGCAAACCACAGTCTCTCAGACTTACTCTGAGTAGATGGAGTGTTAGTCCACATGAGGAGTTATAGAGGACGTTCTGCAATGGAGAGGCTGATGTGAATTTCCAGAATCTACATCCATCATCTCACTTACACACATGAATGAAATGGACACTTGACTGCAACTCCTCAGAAAAACGGAACTGGGCATTACACCCAAAATAGTTGATGAAACCCGAAAAAGGTGATGCAGAATTGAGTGACCAGTGCTGGAAGTAGTGCACCTCTGCTCTCACCAGCAGCAAAATACGACGAATGAATTCCGAATGATGTTTTTGTCCCAACACCTCACGTTTGAGGAGCTGCCAAAACAAAAGCCTAAAACTACAAGCCAAAAAGGTCCTAGCATTATGCTAGGCAAACAGAGGCAGTACACACAGGTCCAGGTTTCAAAACTCACCAGCTTCAGAACAGTAAAGAAAGACAAAACAACTGTACTTACTTAAAAAAGAGGGGAAAAAGGGGGGAGGCCTTGGGGTATCATAATTGAACTGACCGGCCCCAGGTATGATCATATTCAGTTCATCTGATAGCATCTGGATTCATACTCGAGTCTGTATTTCAATAGTTCATGTGTACACCTTCCAGGTTCAAATTCTGGAAGAACGAAAACAATAGACACATGAAATGCAACAAACAGCTGGCAGGGTGCGGTGTCGGCGCGAATACCCTTACAAGGGTATCCGCCCTGGTTTTTGCAAATTACAGAAAACGAGTTCAGTTTAAAGTTTGAGTACACCGCGTGAGTCGCGGCTGTGTCTATTGTTTATGCCGACTGGATGTTTGACTAGAGTAGAGAGTGTGTGGGCGCGCAGACTAAGGCGCGCGTGATCTCTGTTTTCTTATTAATGATTGTGAAGCCGACGTGGTTGCCCGCCAAGTTTTATTTCTGATTAAACTAGGGATCAAATATTATTTTTCCTTGATCAGTACGCTTGACCATGACATGTGCGTACGTACGGAGGGCGGCACCGACAACAATGTGGCTTGACAGGTTTTAGCACATCCGCACGTCGTGCAGTACTAGCTTATATAGGTGTCCACCAATAAAAAGGCTCAGCCTTGGTCCTAGCACTTTTGGTTATGATATCGCACTTCCACCCGAGAGATTCAGGGATCGAGGCCAACAGCGGCTGCGCAGGAGTATCGGAGCAGCGAGGAGGAGCCTAGGGATTGAGGGCCCGACGGGCCTGTTGCCCTTCTCGTTTTACCGACAGTGGAGTCGGAGCGGTGCTAGCGGTTCCTTTCCCTCATCTGCTAAATATTTTATTATTTAACGTCATATTACTCTCTTTTTTTTCTTATGCTCCAGCGTCCCTTGAATCGGACGTGGCGCCAGACTTAGTGGCCGTCACGGCGGTCAAAGGACCCTGAGCACGGGTCTCTTTTGGTTGACCTACGGATTCCTGTGTGTTTGGGATGCTGGCCAAATTTCTCTATCCTTACTGTTTTGAACGTGGACCGAGGAGTTCAATATCCATGCGAGCCGGTGGGTGATTAGCCCCCAAGGCGGAAGAAACCAGGGTGGCACGGGTCCTTTACGGGCGTATCGCCCACCAGCCGCGAGTCTGTTGCGAGAGGTTTGACTGTGAGCATGCCCGTTGGACCCCGCAAGGTAGTGGTCTATGCCTGAGCAGCGGTCGGGGCACCAGGACGGGGCCACAATGTGGCCAGTTTACATAGGATCCCTTCCCCTCACTTGGTCTTCAAAGTTCTCATTTGAATATTGGCCACTACCACCAAGATCTGCACTGGGGCCCGCTGCATGTAGGTCGCGTTGCAGGCTTAGCGGTAGGCCAGTGCCCTCCTTGCTGATCGACCAGATAGGGGATCGCTGGGATGGGTGCATAGGTCGCGCGCCCCAGCACCATCAGCCACTCGGAGTTGGCGGGCCCGGCCGATGAGTTATTACACACTCTTTAGTGGATTTCAGTTTCCACGGTCGTTGCCCTGTGGACTGTATCAACCAGTACACTTCGAGAAGCCTTGCTTAGTGCACAATGGGTTAGCGCACAGTTGGGCAGCTGACCGCAGCGGGGTAGCGAAGGAAGGGAGCGCAGGGGAAAATGCAAAGTTCGTTCGAGTCTTGATCAATCCGAGCGAGAAAGGAGTCAGCTCTGAGGTTTCAAGCCATGGCGAACACGGTAGAGGTGTTAATTTTGGTGATAGATTAGGAGAATATGAGTTAGTAAGGAAAGAGAAGAAGTCGGAAATGGCAGGGAGACGAGCGGAGTGCAACGGAGAAAGGATAACTAACTCAATTCTCGACAGAATCGGGTTCTAAGGTAGGGCGAATCGAATGATGAGCTTGGTTCGGCGAGTGGGGCTGTGCATGAAGAGATCGGGAAAGATAAGAGGTGCATGAACAGTCGAGAAGGAGAGATCATGGAGAATAGAAGTCTGTATCTCTCTCAACTTTTAACGGATTTCAGTGAAATAAAAAGCGAAATAGAGGTTTTGGATCATTCTGAATTGATTGGCTGCACCTGATTTTGAGTCTGGGTGGCAGTTTTATCGATATAAGGTTCGAGGGCTGTGTGCAAAGGAAGAGATATGATGATCATCACATCGTCATCACAGTGTGGATTACTCTACTGACATTGAAGTGTTGGTCTTGATAGTCGGGGTCCTTCATTATGCTGGGTATGGGTCTCTTCATGGCCATGCTATCAGTGATTGTCGTGGAAGAGCTGTCGACTGTCCTGGCCGAGTGCTAAGGAAAGCACATGAATCTGGCTGAAAGTTTAACCAGATGAATTCAGAGGTTGGGAAGATAACTAGCAGCGGAGAGAGAGAGAAGGAAAGATAGGAAAGGAGGGATGAGAGGCACGTACCTGCCCACGTAGCTGCGTATGGTTGTTTACGAGATCGGGTTACCTACAGCAGTTGAGTTGAAACGAACAGGGAAAGTAATGGGGAATTGGTAGCGTACATTTTCATGCTTTATAGGGAAGGTCATTCCCATTTTTTTTGCACTACTACTAGGTGTTGATCGCATTACTGCTCTTAAAGCACTACCGGGGAGGCTGCTGCGAGTAGTGCAGGCGGTCGTACTTGTCACCACTATCTCAGGTCTGCATCATCGCGAAAGTCGCGTCCTTCGTGAATGGACCTTCACATGTTCTAGCGGACAATTCGCCCTTGATTATGACGTTGGCCAGGTTCATTATCCTGGCTAGAACTTTGTACCTCATGATGCTCATTCGGACGAGGTAGATGGTGCTTGTCATAGTCACCAGCGCCACGTTGCTCAGTTATGGTATGGACTCTGTTCGACAAGGGATCCGTTGAGTTTGTAGGATGTTCCTTATCGTCAGATCGGCTGTTGCAGCAATCCCGGTTATCACCCATTTCTACGGTGCTTAGTATCTGCACTCACTGGTCGCATTTCCTTGGGAGAGGCATGAATGTTCTTAGTTGGTGGAGTGATTTGACTGGTTAGTTTTGTTAACGAACGAGTCCTCAGTCTGCAAAATAGCTACGTAGGGATTTTCCCTTGTGGCCAGCCATGCTGGGGGAAGAGGAGATAGTTATTGCCAGCATCTATGGCCCGAACGGCCCTCTCGATAGAGTACACTTCCTGCTCCAACTTCAACAATGGCTAACGGCGGGCCCTCCCCTCATCATCGATGGGGACTTTAATATAACGCCCTATCCTCTGCTGGACAGAAGAGCATCCACTGACCCACAAGCATTGTCCCAAACCCAACATAGATGGGCCCCGGACGTGGACATGCTGGCCAGCTTCATGGCCACTAAAAAGGCGTACACTTGTGTACGATCCAAAGGCGCAGCCGGTATATCTAACTCAAGAATAGACCTATGCCTTATTTCAGAAGAGCTGGTAGGAACACTGATGGTGTCAGCAATTATGCCTTTCAGTGCGTGCAAATCCTTTGACCATCGGGGGATAGCGTTGGGCCTCTCCTTCCACCCACCGATTGATAAAGGACCGAGTTTCTATAAGTTTAATACATCACTTCTTAAACTCGCATCCTTGAAAGACTTGGTGAAGGAGTTCTGGCAGTACTGGGAAACTCAGAAAGGGATAGGTCGTTCGGTGGTCGACTGGTTTAATGATGGGGTAGCATAATTGAGGGACCGAATCAGGAAATTTTCT